TGCCTCCTTGCCTCATCTAGATTTGATGGAACTGTATGGGAGTTGTAATATTCATTTTTTAAAGGGGTATTTTTGTAATTTTTATATGACATTTTTGCAATTTTATTAAAGTTTGAGGGGTAAATGGGTAACTTGGAACGGGCTGTTCCAAAATTGGAACGGGCCGTTCCAAGCAATAAAAAGACACTAAATTTTTAAGTTTGGAACGGGCTCAGGACGGGCCGTTCCAACAAGGAGAACGGGCCGTTCTGATTTTTGGAACGGGCCGTTCCGGAGGGAGAACGAGTCGTTCCAAAGGGAGAACAGGTCATTCTGCTGAAATTGAGAACGGGCCGTTCTAGTTTTGGAACGGGCTGTTCCAGTTCAAAATTTTACGTGGATTTTTCAGGCCGAAAACGGGCGTTTCGCTTTTGGAACGGGCCGTTCCGGGTATGAGGGGCAAAAATGCTATAAATAGGGGCCTTGGGGTGTTGGAAATGCATGCCTTGAGAGAGAAGAATTCCTAGAGAGAGAAAGAGGAGAGAGAGAGAGAAAGGGAGAGGAGGAGAAAGAAAAGAGGAAAGAGAGGATGAAGAATCCAGTAGAGGAGGTTCTGCTAGGGGAGAGAAAAGAGGAGGGAGAGGAGGAGGTTCTGCTCGAGTTTCGGTTCTTGTTTAAGGAGAGAGAGGAGGAGATTCTGCCCGAGTTTCAGTTCAGGTTTATCCAAGTAAGGGTAGTACTTATAAGACTTAATCTAGTATGTATGAGCATGATAGGGATAATATAACTTTTAATATGCTATTTTGTTTATATGAAGATTGTCATTTGTTTAAGTTGATGATTGTTTTAGGTGTTTAATTATTCATGTTACTATATTGAATGATTTGGTATGGTTATGGAAAAGTTTGTATGTAATTATGGAATATGTTATGTGTGTGTGGTTTGGAAAGCTAATAGGACTTAGAGGAGTAAGGTTATGGTATGGATTAGATCTCTTGGTGAGATCAGGATATAATCTTTGGAAAAATATGGAATTTGAGAATCCCATGGTGAGGATTCCAATATGGAACTTTTCCAAAGGTTATATAATAAACCACTTCAGATGTTAGGTGGATTCTGAAGTACTCCTCTAAGTATTCTATTTGCTACCGGTATGGGTCCAGGCTGAGTCATACCGATGGATGAGGTGGCCACGATCACCAGGATTACGTGACGACGTAATCCAACTGTATATTTTCCATGAGAGGTTAGGCTTGAGACATGGGGTGATGACATGTTTCACCCTAACAACACTTGGTTTAGATGTGTTGAGGCCAACATTTGGTTTGGATGTGTTGGTTACATCATGGATTATACAGTGGTGTGACTTTGTTTGGAATGTCGAATATGTATACATATGGTATGGATTGTATAAATTGGTTATGGATTCTTTATTATCATAAAATATGTATGCATTGGCATGGATGTATATATACATTAAATTTTGGATTGATATATATTTAGCTTGGAAATGACTTGTTGGTCTGGATAAATACTGTGGATAAATATCTATTTAATGATATTTTATTATGATGTACTATGATTGGTTTTATATGTGCTAACCCTTATATTTCCATGATGTGGACTGTGATGATCTCACTATGTGGGGGAGCAAATCAGGTGTGAGGCTTTGGGATAACAAGGAGTCTTTTGGATAGCTGCTTTGAGAAGTGGCTAGGTTTAGAGCTTGACCAGCACCTAGGGTGTCTTATTTTGATGTCTTCATGACGTTGTAATTATATTACCTTTTTGGATTACTGTATAACTTTACTGAGGATAATGACTTTATTATAAAAATATGTTATATATTTTGGAAACAATTTTATATGTTATTGTATATTTACACTCTAGCGTAGCTGGCCCTTGTTCTATTTTCTTTAATATATATTATTTATCTTTGGTTGGTTCTGGATGTGACGGCCTAGGGTGGGTCGTTACAGGAGTTAGATCGAGCCATATGTGTATAAAGTGACCGTAAGGTATGAAGTCGAGGATTAAAATTATTAATCGATTATTGGAAAGGTACGTGGTATTTAGAGAGTAGTTGACATGTTAATCCAATAAGATGCTTTGTTATGCATGCTAAAGTTGTGGTTGACTCACAACCCAAGTTGTTATACTCTAACAATGGTACTAGACTTTCCTAGTTTAAATGACAAAACCTAATAAATCAATTTTGACCACCATGCTAGCTAATGTTTCTAATTTGATAAACTAGCCATTATTTTTGGTTTTTTTACCAGTCGTTGTAATTTGATAAGGTCAAGCCACTTAAACTGTTCATCCTAGTTGTAGGAGATCTCTATATTAGTTGCCATGAGTGATGGCGCATTAATTGTTCAATTATTTAGCAGTTGTTATTAGTTGTTTAACAATTTCTCAGTTGTTTAATTATTGTTATTAGTTGTTTAGCTATTGCGTTGTTGTGTTTGTAGTTGATCATTTTTTTATCATCTATTTTAAGTTGTTTATATAATGACTACTTGTTAGTTGATTTTTATCATTTGTTTCTATAAATCATTGGTGGATGATTTAAGTTGATATTACAATCAAGTTAAGTACTTAGCTATTTATATTGATTTTTTCATAAGTTTATCCTTTCTTTTTCTTGTGGTTGGACTATAATGATCATACTTAGTATCCGAACAATGCAAGATTAGTTTGGATGGTTTGACTATTGGTGGAAGGTCATATTGGTGATGACCTAATTTTGGTGATACTATTTTGATGTAGTATGGTTTTTTATAAACGTTTGACCAACGATAGAGCTATTTGTATATAATAGTGCTTAATTTATGCATATTGTATATATGTACAAGGTATATATGTAATCTCATAAAAAACTTTATGTTTTTAGTCTTATGACTATGAACTATTTTATTTTTTTGCCCTTATACATATATGTAATGCATAATTATCTATACGACTGTTGCATAAAAACCTTATAATAGTTTATTTTTTTTTTATATTTTTCATTACATAATAACTATATTATATTAAATATAATAACTTATCAAATTATTATACTTTCCCATATGTTTGGGTTACCTAGAAAAGCGTATAGAAAATTGAGGAAATATTAATTTTTGATCAGTTAAAGGTTGATAGTTTTACATCCCATTTAAAAAATGAGATCATATTAATTGAGATCCGTTTATTAGAAAAATAAACTAAATAGAAAAAACAAAAAGAGAATTTTAGAGAACAACGGCAAATTGAATGATACTCACAATATAAGAATGTTGGAGATACTTAAAATTTATTTATGAACCAAATATTGTAAATTGAGTTTTTAAAAAGTTAAAAAAAAAAAGTTAATTCAAAATTTTTTTTCTTTTACTTTTCTTCAACTTGAAAGAAGAAACTAAGGTAAACACTTTTATATATAAAAACTCATTAAAAAAATAAGGAGTTTATTTTTAGAAAAAAATAATTACAGGAGCTTATTATTTTACCAAATTTTAACCATTTTACATTTGTCATTATCCATTTTTTAATAAAGAAATACTACCACAATATATATAATAAAAAAAAGTTAGGAGAAAATTTTGTTTCTTAAAAATAAAATTATTTTAACAATTGGTTATTTAATTTGCAATTAAAAAACTGTAGCAATTTTTGTTTCTCATAAAATTATTTCTTCTAATTTTAACTTCTTTTTACTTTGTCAACATATTCTTTATGAAAAATAATCCTATTCAAGTGAAGTATAACTTTTTTAAATAATAAAGTTCTACTGTTGAACATTTAATATAATAATATATTTAAAATTTGAATATAAAATTCCGATCTAAGCTAAAATAATATTTATATTTTTAACCTGCGAAAGTGAAACTCCTTTTTCTCTTTCTTTTTCTTTCTCTTCCTCTTTTTCTTTTTCTCTCTTTATATATATATAACACCACTTTAAAATTGCAAAAATATTACATAAATACTTAATTGATTGTGTTTCTTACACTACTATAGGCTGCATGAAAGCAGCTCACAGACACATTAAATACAAATAATTGCATTTTAACTTTTATTGGAACCTATCTAATTATTTATCATTGTTTATTTACTGCATTAAATATACTTTTAATTTTTAATTTTATTAAATTTTCACTTTTAGTATCTGAATAAACATTATTTGGTTTTAGCCTTAAATTTTTTTTCATGAACAAAAAACCTCTAGTGAAAATCAACAAAAGTTCATAAATGATCAAAACTAATAGAAAATTTGTTCAAATAATAAAAGTGAAAATAAAAAAATTAAAAATTAAAAATATAATTAATTCTTATTTATTTATTTATTATGAGCTAAACCTCTTTCTAAAATGGCCAATTTTATCAACCTAACTAAGAAAACACTGATCTTTTTGGGTTTCATGACTGGGCTTTACCAACAATCAGAACCTAACACAAAGCCCATAGGCCGATGAACCCAAACCAAGGATTTCACGTGACGAAATGAGACCCAAAACTAATAAATAAATAAAAAAAAACCGTAGATCGTTGTTTTTTAATCGAACGGCGAATAATCACTCGATGCGCTCGATAACACTGTGCATCCACGGCGCATGATAAGATTTGGTCCCCTGTGAATGGTTATCGTTCTCCATGGGATGCGCTTTACTCCACAACCCTACCCGCCACTTCCATCTTCATTTCTTTTTCTTTTTTTCTTCTCAAAATTAAATTTTCTAGTTTGTTATCGACCGTTGAGCCAAACTTCCTGCGCCCCACGATTCTACCTGGTATGTTTTATGGGCTTTTTAATTTCCTGTTCAATTTTCAATCTGAAAAAATGAACCTTTTTTTTATATATTTATTTATTTCACCATACGTGCTTGATTTGATTATTGGTTTCAGTTTGTGGATTTCCTTTCTAGGTGTGTTTCTCAGTGTCTGGAAATGGGGTTGAGATTTGGAAAAATGGATTTGGATCTGTGAGAGACTGAGAGTTAAGTGTGAGTTCTTTATTTTGATAATTTCAATTTTGGAACATGGCAGTATTTTGGGGGAGATCCACATGGGAATATTGGACATTGGAGAATAAATGAATAATAGTTGTGTGCTGGGAAGTGGAAGTGAGTGAGATACTTACTTTACAAACATAGTTAAATAAGTGTTCAAAGTGATGGTTATACTCATCCTCAATTTGATCACTTTTAAGCTATCCTGGCAGATGAGTTCAGTTTGTTAGTATGAACTATGATTGACTCTGGCATTGACATTAACACTCACTTTTACCGAATTGATTGTATCTGTAATTTGATTTTGGAGAAGGTGTTGTTTATAATAGAAGTTCTGTTACTTGCCATATACAGAGTCCTCCTCCCCTCTGATCCCTTCTATTGTTATTTATCCGTGTTCAATGCTACAATTTTTCATTAGGTTATCGTCTTCATAAATTATTAGCCTCAGATGTCAGAGCTAATATAATATATGAAGGATATGGCATCTGAGCATACCTGTATGTATCATTGAGTATATATTTGAACTTTGAAGGTAAATCAGCTTGATGACTGTATGTTAAGCTGATATTCTTTTCATCTGCTGATCTTGTAGGTTTAAACATCTGCAAACCAATTGGGTTGTTATTACTGACAGAAGAATGTCAGAAGGAACCAGTCTGGTGTTGGAGTCATCTGAAAATGGCACAGATTTGTCTCAGGATGACATTGGGACCATTGAGGAAACACCAGAGGAAACAATTTTGTCAAGACAAACTTCTGTCAACCTCGTCCCTTTTATTGGTCAGAGATTTGTTTCTCAGGAAGCAGCCTATGAATTTTATTGCAGTTTTGCTAAACAATGTGGCTTTTCAATTAGACGGCACCGAACTCGGGGGAAAGATGGGGTTGGCCGGGGAGTTACAAGGAGGGATTTTACTTGCCATCGTGGTGGATATCCCCAGATTAAACCTTCTGATGATGGGAAGGCGCAAAGGAACCGGAAATCATCACGCTGTGGTTGCCAAGCATACATGCGCATTGTGAAAAGAGCAGATTTTGATGTCTCTGAATGGCGTGTTACTGGTTTTAGGAACATTCACAATCATGAGTTGTTAAAGTCCAATGAGGTGCGACTTCTTCCAGCATATTGTCCTATATCTCCTGATGACAAGAGTCGTATATGCATGTTTGCTAAAGCTGGAATGTCAGTAAGGCAAATGCTAAGATTGATGGAGCTAGAGAAAGGTGTCAAACTTGGTTGTCTTCCTTTTACAGAGATAGATGTAAGAAACCTGTTGCAATCTTTCAGAAATGTGGATAGAGATAATGATGCTATTGATTTGATTGCTATGTGCAAGAGGTTAAAGGATGAAAACCAAAACTTCAAGTATGAATTCAAGATAGATAGTAATAACAGGCTTGAGCATATCGCATGGTCCTACAGCTCCTCCATTCAATCATATGAGGCATTTGGAGATGCTGTGGTTTTTGACACAACCTACCGAGTAGATGCCTATGACATGCTGTTGGGAATTTGGCTTGGTGTGGACAATAATGGAATGACTTGTTTCTTTAGTTGTGCACTTCTACGGGATGAAAATATGCAGTCTTTTTCATGGGCTCTAAAGGCAAGAACCTTATGATATTCTAGCTTCAACTTGGTAATCTTGTATTTGATTTCTTGATTGCCTGCTATCGAGTAGGCTTAAATTACTATGCCAAACGTACAATTGTGCTAGCTTTTTTTTATAAACATCTGCAAAATAGAATTTTACAATATTGTTCTTTTATAAAAATATCAATATCAATTAGTGAAAGCGTATGATAAAAATTAGGCTTTTTATCGTAATTACTTAAAGAAGAAAGTACAAAATGCTGTTTGGATTTTTAAGGTAAGAACCTTAACATGTGACCTAATAACTCCTATTAACAAAACCCTAAATATTAAAGCAACAAAAAATTGTATGTAGTTTTTCTTTTCAATGGTTGATTCTTTGGTTAGTTATAATTTTTTTTTTCTTGATAGAAGAATAATAATAATGACCACATATAATTCATTGACTGATAACTTTTGTACACATTTTTACGCTGCAAATTTTCTTTACATTATGTTTATGAGATAGGAATCATAGGATTCATTTGATTTTTTGTTTTAATCTAATTGACATTTATGCAGGCTTTCTTGAGCTTCATGAAAGGAAAGGCTCCACAAACAATATTAACAGACCATAACATGTGGCTGAAAGAGACCATTGCTGTTGAATTGCCTGAAACTAAGCATGCCTTTTGTATATGGCATATTCTTTCTAAGTTCTCTGTTTGGTTTTCTTTACTTCTTGGATCACAATATGATGAGTGGAAATCTCAGTTCCATCGCCTCTACAATTTGGAATTGGTAGAGGATTTTGAAGAAGGCTGGAGGCAAATGGTTGATAAATATGGACTCCACGCAAATAAACATATTATTAGCCTATATTCGTTAAGGACATTTTGGGCTTTACCATTCTTGAGGCGTTACTTCTTTGCAGGATTGACCAGTACATGTCAGTCTGAGTCCATTAATGTTTTCATCCAACGGTTCTTGAGTGCACAGTCTCAACTAGAACGTTTTGTGGATCAAGTATGTATGTGATATATAATTTGTTTCCTTTAAGTTTTATTTATTTATATGCAATGCTATATTTAAATATCATTTTTAACAGGTGGCAGATATTGTTGATTTTAATGACCGAGCTGGGGCAAAACAAAAGATGCAAAGGAAACTTCAGAAAGTGTGTCTAAAAACAGGTTCTCCTATTGAATCCCATGCTGCCACTGTACTTACTCCTTATGCCTTAAGTAAACTCCAGGAAGAGCTAGTTTTGGCACCACAATTCGCTTCTTTTCTGGTTGATGAAGGCTGTTTCCAGGTCAGACACCACTCCCAGTCAGATGGAGGGTGCAAAGTGTTTTGGGTTCCTTGTCAAGAGCACATCAGCTGCAGCTGCCATCTGTTTGAGTTTTTAGGCATCTTATGTAGACACGTGCTACGTGTCATGTCTACTAATAACTGTTTTCACATCCCTGATCAATATTTACCAGATCGTTGGCGAGGCAATAGTTCATCTTCTGTTAATCACTTTCGGGGTGCAACTAGTAGGGATCCGCCTGAAAGGATGCAATTTTTGGAATCCATGGTTTCAACTTTTTTAGTGGAATCCATTGAAACTGAGGAACGGCTGGATGTTGCTTGCGACCAAATTTCCATGGTGCTATCACGCATCAAAACCCTTCCTAGGTCCACACATGGGGTGAATGACATAACATATAGTTATCCATCAGATTCACTGATATTGCCAGAGGTAGAAGATACTGATGGAATGATTCATGGCTTTACAATCACAAATCCCCATGATTCTATCACTGCAGGAAACCTAAAGGAGAGAAGGGTGAGAGATGGAGTCGATCTCACTAGGAAGCGTAGGCAATTCTCAGCGCCGTTGTGTGCTCAATATGGCCATGATGCATCTGATTGCTCAATAATGGCGGGTGACAATATGAGTGGAGATGCATTAGGGTACTCGTAGAGTGAGTGGAGGTAGTACTCTTGTACAAAGTAAATGCATTTTTTCTTGGGGATACATAAATGCATTTTTTATTTCAGATGCATGTTGTAATGCACATATTTTATATTTTCTTCACTCCTTTCCTCCAATTCAGCGATACACATGTTGCCGCCCGCTCTTTACACGAGCAAAAGGTTTCCGTCTTATTTACACCATGTATGAGTATTGAGAATTTTGATTTACCCAAATACATAAATATTTTTGCTTTTACTTGGTGTGCCTGTGAAGTAGGAATTGCAGACATTCGTTGCTTTTTGGAGCTTCTGCCTACGTTCTTGGCGGCTGAGGCCTTGTAGGTTCTATTTTTTAATTAAAAAGTTGTAGTTGACTATAAAATGTTTGCATGTGTATTGTGAAAAGATTTAATTTTTTCTTTGTCATCAGCTGCATGATATATCACTTAAACTTTTAGTTCTCATGGCCTCAAACAATATGTATATTTATATGATGAGTTGACAACTAGGATCTATCAAAATTTCTAAGCTCGTTTCGTTTATGACAATTGGAGTCTTGAATTTGAACTCATTTTTGATCATCCTTACACTTACAAATACTTTAATTTAAAACTAGACTCCCAACAAATGATATTTTCCTCTTTGGAGCCCCTTTAATAAATTGTTTTATCTGTGTCCTGCAACGGAATGCTAGTAACGAAATCACTAATTCATTATTGACCCAGTACATGATCAGTTGTGGTACTATACTATTGTAAGCTATTTTACAAAAATTGCTGATCATTTGTACCTATCATAGAGTCTGCCACTCAATTTGTTTGTAAAAGAATCTTGATTATTGCTATAGACGTCTAGAACTTCTATATTTACATTCGACACTATCAATCGTAAGCTAGCATTCTAGATGCCTCATCTCTTATTACAACAAGGAATTATACATTTTGGGCAGTGCCATACCTATCTATGACTTATTCTGCAGAATCATCACCCAGAGAAACTTTACTTAGCCTGCTTGGCAATGATTTAGCACTGTTACTTGCAACTTTTCTTCTCCCATTTTTGCGTAGATGAGACCTCAAGAGGGCTCTCCTGGCTAGTTCTTTCCCCATATTGGATTTGGTTGTGCCATTTATGGGAGGGATCTCTTGGGAAGAGTTTCCTTGGCTGTTGCCAGCATCAAAAGAGACATTCTCAGAAGCCATTAAGATGTCTTGAAGAAGGGTAGATAGGACAGTGAGATGGGTATTGAGGAAGGTTTGATTAAAACATGGTAGTAGGTGTCAGATTTTAAGGTGGTTTAAGAGACCCTTTTTTCCACTTATCATGCAAGAGAATATGTGTTGGATGGCAGCAAGGTTAATGGGGTGCTCAAGGAATCACTTGCAAAAGTTCATGACTCTAGGAATAAATTAAACAAGTGTGTGCTGTCTTGTATGTGAAGAAACTATGTTCAATTATTGGACGTGGCATTGTCCATGCGGTCATTTACGTAGCAAATCTATGCTGTAGACTATATATGGAAGATGCTTATGCAGATTTTTTCTTGTTTGGTTACAGCTTTCACAGAGATCCTTTAATTTAATTGTGCACTTCATGGTCGCAAGAATAAAAGGACTCGACCATCATAAAATGGTCTCACTTTGAAGTGTCAAATTGAAGCAGCTATATGCTAATCAATTGATGTGAATCAATCGTGGGTAAAATGGTTTCACAATTTTCATTAATTAATAGTGATAATATAATATATTTAAATATTTTAAGTTAACAGAATTCAAGTGCCTTTTCACTATAGTGTTTTGCTACTATCTGTATAGAAAGCTCGTGTTAGCCTTTGTTTGGAAACACGTTTTGTAGCTAAAAAATATGCCCTTATGTGAAAAATGTTAAAGTTAAACATATTTTTGGTCTTCAATAAAAGTTTGTTTTTAGTTGTTATTTTTTAAAAATGTTGACTTTTAAACCTCGTTTTTTTAATATTTTAATTTTTATTTCTGCCACTCATTATGTTAATTCAATGTAATAGTGATATTCAATTAGCTTCACTGTTTTTAGACCTTTAAATTAACATATTTGTATGAGGTGTTTAGTAAGTAGACATTACTGTTCAATTAGATTAACATAGTAGGTGACATAGGTAAAATTTGACAAATTTAAAAATGAAAAATGAATCAAAAGTTAACATTTCGAAAATGAGATACTAAAAATGAATTTTTTCAAATTTATGAAAAGATGTTTAACCCAAAATGTAATAGTCAGAATTGATAACTTATAAGTTTTAACTTCTATTCAAGTCTAAAAAAAATCACATCTTTCATCTATTTCCAAACACACTATTAAAAATTACATGTTAAAAAGAAACTAATGAATTTTTGAAATCATAAACATCGATATTTTAATTCTTAATTTTTTAAATTTTTATTTAGTCTTCGAATAATAACAGACAAAGGGAAGAAAGAACAAGCTAAACAATTTTTTTTACAAAGTCAAGTATTAAATGAATGCTTTAAAAACTTAAAGACTAAAGCAACCGATTTCTAACTTTAAGATCCAATTTAATAATTTAACAAATTATGCTTGACAATAATTAAGTAATTTCTTTTATTAATTGAAATGATTCAACACTCTAACTCTTTTTATCAAGATTTGATTTTCATCTTAAATATGAAGTTATGGTTGAAAATATTGTCTTATTCTTATAAAAATTGAATCAGTGAAAAAGAATTATACCTCTTTATCAAATCAATTAAAAATATGTATTGTTTAATAGAGAAAATGAATAAATAATTACTAATAAAAGTTTTTTTAAAAACTTTTTTAGTTAATAATAAAAGTTTTCATTATTAGTCAATGATCCTCGCATATAAATAGCGGCATGAGTGTTCTATCTCTTTTTGATGTGTTAGTGTTCTCCCTAAATATGGCACTCAAAAGCTTGTCATACTCTAATATATGCTACGTTTCTAACTTGCATTGAAATTGATTTTCTCACTCACTGGATTCTGATTCTTACTTACAAGCATTCAATATTTTTTCGTATTACCATGCCATAAAGTATTTATTCAATATATCACTCACCTTGAAAAATGACGGTAACATTTTCACAGAGCTATCAAAGGAGAAAAAAAGGAAAAAAAAAATGGCTCTGACTGACCATGTTCCTCACTGGAATTATTTTCATGAGAAAAAGGACATTGGAAGAAGTTTGGTATGGTCACCATGATTGCTTTTAATAAATTTCTGTCAGAAGATTAATTTTTAATTAAAAAGATATTAGTACATGAAACCCATGAGTGTGCAATCGGAGTCTATTTGTTTGTCATGTTTAGACGAAAGTGTCGTGACACAGATTGCATTTTGGCGATTGAAGATAAGGCTAAGAAATGGTCAGTACAATTATGTTGGGACAACTATGAAATGCATTTTTAAAACTATTGTGGAGAATAAGCATTAGGTTGGATCGAACGATTTAATTTGAAACAAATTGCGTGTTTGAAGATAATTTAAATTGCACTGCTTAAAATTTGTTCTAGATTAATTAGTCTACCATTTGGGGACTCTTCATGGGTTATTTTACAATTTAGAGACATTAAAAATGAAGAAAATTAAAACTAAAATTAAAATTTAAAATCTCATTGAGATAGAATTATAGAAAGGCTATGCCAATTAGGTAAGCACCAATTAGTTGTAAGATTATTAAAAATACTCTTGCTTTTTAAAAAGAATAAAATATTTGAAATATATAAAATAGAAGCGCATTAGACTAATACCCTAGACATTGGCATGCACAATATGGACAAAAATTGTGAATACAATTTATTTTTCTGTTTGATAAAAACAAAGCAACAAGAGCACCATCGTTAGCACCGACATGATGGTTCCATTTGTCAATTCACCTATTTGGTGTCTCTTGGTGGCTATTTTTGTCCCTCTTCCTTTCAACTACAATTTCCACCTCAGAATAGCACTTTTTGGAGCTTTGTTATTATGCTCATCATGCACTTAGGCTTCAACCAAGAATATTAACCTCTAGAGAAGAATAATAACAACCGTTCATCTTATAATGCTTTGCCCCAAGTCAGAAGCAGAGAATTCATTCGCTTTCTAATTAAATTAGCACTTTCTGATTCCTTTTCTTTTTCCCTGGCTTTCTCATTAAAAATAAAATAAAAATACTTGTTCATCAAGCATTTTCTACTTGGCATGCGGGTCAACTTTTTCTTCTCCTTTCCTGTGACTCAAAAAGAAAAATTGTATCATTGGATTAGATATAATCACATAAACTAATTAAATTTCAATCTTTTTCTAAAGCAAACATTAAAGGGGTCCCTTCTTTGCAATAGGTTTAAAGGCAAATTCAAGTTCAACCCCCCACATCCATATAACATTTTTTTTTTGTTAATATTTGAAAAACTTAGAACTGAATTAACTGAAAGGTACACACACTGCACTTTGGAGGGTGAAATGGCCCTAATGAACAGGTGTTTGATGTGTCATGACTCATGAGCACTATCTTTGTCTTCATCATTCAATACACTTCAAACATAAAAACCTATGGTGGTAATTAACAATTGCCTTTGTGGCACTGCTTGATATTAAATCCCACACTTTGTGGGAATCTTTGGCCTTTAAGCAACCTTTGCTCCAAGCAATTCTAGAACTCTTCATTCCTTTTCCCAATTCTTCTCTTCAAAACTTGATAAAAACTTCATTTCCTCTCTTGTTGTATCCTCTAGAATTGTATCTTTCTTGAGCACAAAAAAGAAATGGCACAGAGAATGGCAGTCACACATGCAGACCTTGAACCAAGCAGAAGCAAAACAGATTTGAGTAGCAAAACAGGTGCCTTCCTTATGGTCCTCACAATTCTAATAGGCCTCTTCTGCTTCATCCTATGTCTCATAGCAGAAGCCACACGTTCTGAGGTACAAAAAGCTGGATATTTTTGCAATTACAATACAATTCTCGCAAGACAAAACTTAAAGAACAGTTTCTTAGTCACGATTGTTATTATTTTTCGATCAGAATGAATTTTTACCTTGATAATATGTATTTAAATTTAATATATATCATTAACATACATTTAAGCATATTATCAAAATCAAACTTCAACTCTAATTAAAGAATAACATTAACCATACCTAAAGAGTTGTATTTAAATTTTGTTCTTCTACCGATTGTCCCTTAAGGGAATGCATGAACAACTTCTCATGAAGCTTAATATGAGGTAGGTGACATGGATGGACACAGGTGGGAAAGAAAACGGAGGCAAATCTGAATGTGTTTATAGCGGAAGTGGGAAAGTGCCATTGCTATGTGCTGCTTTTGCTTTTGTTGGACTTGCATTTGCCATGGTCATGGAACATACTTACATGTTGATAGCAGTGACTAAATCATCACCTTCTTTGCTTACATGGGACCCTGATTCTCCTTCTGCCAGGTCCCTAACATGGCAGGCAGGGTTTTTCTTCATTGCAACTTGGTAAGAAAAAGACATTTTTGTTGCTATGTTCTTTATTATCTCAGAAAATAGAGCTTCTCTTCATGTTTTTCTTTAAAATAGAAAAAAAAATTTCCAGGTTAGATTTGAAAGTTTTTGCTAGTGCTATTTGAGGATACCCTCAACAACAAAGTTCAATGGGGCTGTGGACCAAATTGAGTTAAGATTAGATAAAATGAATTGAGACGGAATAGAAGAAAGGGTTAATAAAAACTCTGGGGAAGAGAGAGTGAGAAGAAAAGGAGGGAAGAAGAGAGGTGTGAGGAAATGAAAAAGAAGAACAAACATGGGCTGATTGCATGGTCCCATCAGGGATTAATTATTTGAAATCTTAATTTCATACATGATTATTTTTTAGTAGACAAACTTCAGCCTTATATTATTAGGAAAGGAACATCATCTTTACACCTGAATATCCTTCATTTAAATTGAGCCAAACCTAATTCAATATGAATTCCTGCATTGATTAATCATGTGGAATAACATCAGTCCTCCGAACAACAAACCGGTACCTCTGATTAAATACCCTTGTCTAACAATAATACAAGGGACATTGTACATACCCTCCAAAATTTACGGGTTTTGTACTTTATTGGGAAACTCAGTCCCCATCTCTGTCTCTCCTCTATTGGTGTTTCTAAACTCCTTCAACTATTGATCCATATACAATTGTATCAAAACTCTTAGATCTCTCTGGATACTATAGCAAATTTCTGCATGAGAAATATATGATCAAATTTTATAACAAAAAATCCCATATTTAAAGAAAAGGGAAAAAAATGAGAAGTCCAAACTACTGCTATTCATGTATTACTTTCAAGGTTTTAACAGTCATGCATGTGTAAAATCGTTGTACATCGATAACCAATCAGAAATAACTAATGATATGATTGCTAAAGATATATAGATAATAGTCTATGATTGGATGATGATGTAAAATTATTTTACAGATGATAGCTTCTTTTCTCTGCTTTCAATTAATATATATAAGTAATTCATAACCAAAATCTTTCCTCTTGTAGCAATTAACTTAGCACTAGCAAAACCATGTGAATTTAACTTGTCGTGTGTTGCAGGATTTGTTTTGCAGTTGCGGAGATTTTGTTGTTGGCAGCACTTAGTGTAGAGTCAGGGCATCTGAAGAACTGGTCTAAGGCAAGAAACGGTTGCTACAGCATCAGAGAAGGGGTGTTCTCTGCTGCTGGTGTGTTTGCTTTAACCACAGTTTTCTTGGCTGCTGGTTTATATCTAACAGCACTACGAGCACAAAGAATGTCAGAGGAACTAGCAAATGTTCGAAGAGAGGTTCTAGAAGCCTCTGCATTCTATGCTTCTCCACCAAGGTCACCTCAACCACAATACATCTCAACAATTGCCAGGGAGAACCCCACAACCAGAGAGACCCCGAATGAGCTTCTGTTATCTGTGTTTCCAACTCCATTCGTCAAAAGTCACAACTTTGCATAAATCTAGAAAAAAAAAAAAAAAAAAAAAAAAAA